TTGAGCAGTTGTTTCGCTTTTCGGAAGGCAGTCTCCTGGACATCCTCGTACTGTTCCTCGTCACTGGCCGCAAATTTGTTATTGCCCTCATCATCATTGGAGAGATTGTCCTCATCCGATGAAATAATTTCATTCGCCAGCTTCGCTTGTCGTTTTGATAATTTGAATGCCTGGGGGAGCTTTCTTTTGAGCTGAAAATGGGCCAGTGCAGAGAAATAACTGTGAAAATAAGCAAGAAAAAAATTACGAGTTCCCAAATTCAGTTCTTAGAAAAAATTAAGTTCTTAAAATGAGCCAATACAGGAATAAAGTTCTTAATTTCTAAAGAGCTCCTAAAATTAATTAAGAGTTGTTAAAATTCATTTCTTCTGTTTTACATTTCTTTTATCTTAATTAATTCTATACCTCACTAAATTATTTTGTTACCACAATCGTCGTACTGACGAGGTTTAACTATTGTAACGGTAAGAAATGTATACAACTTAATGGGCCGAAACATTTCTTGTCTATTACAAATGTTTCTTTAGACACCTTTCCCATTTTATTATCCTTTTCCTCCTTTTCACTGTTTCTTTCTTTTCCTGATATTTTCTTTTCAACCTTTAAAAAGAACAGCTTAATTAGCAGATGGAAGCAATCAGGTTGACCTTGGAAGTTTAAATGGGAAAGGCGCGATAGATTACAATATAAAGGAAGGAGATAGGAGTGAGATAGGACGTTTCGGTCCATTAAGTCATATATGTCTTAACTCAACTCTACGACAGGACCTCGTCAGTGTGACGGTCGCAGTGCTTAATGGGAAAGGAAAAGAGGAAGATGGCAGAAAGAAGCAGAAGGAACTAAGATTAGATGCAGTAAAAGTGGGATAAATAATTAAAAGAAAAGGATTTTAGAAAAAGTTCAAAAAAAGATTTAAAAAGGCCGTTTTTTTACAAAAGATTTGAAAAGAAGTTTATAAAAAAGGGGGTTTTAAGGACTTAAAAAAAAAAAGAAAGTAAAGAAAAATGAAATGATCCATCGCGAACTTCAATCACGTAAGTTTTATTACTGGAACTATTACACGTAGAACCGACGTCGTTACAATTTTTAGTTTTCTCTGTGGTAGTAACAACAGATGGAACAGGGAAAACGTAGCGGAAAGAGGAAGACGCAAGGGACGCAAACAGGAAAAACGCAACGCTGAAGGTCTCCAAAGACTTAATGGACCGAAACATTTCTTACCTACTTTAAAAATTCTCATTTTTTTTCATACGTCCTTTCTTACTTTTTCCATCATCCTTTCTTATATTTTTCCATCATCATTCTTATATTTTTCTTTTAACTTTAATTATGATGACAAAATAATACGTTAAACGGAGACAATGAGCTTCAGTGGTCGAGAATTACTTAGAGAAATGGTACCTGTTTCTGTGAATGAATGTGCAAAGCAGGCGGTTAATCCAGTGCAAGGAAAAAACCCTTGACTGAGTAAGAAAGAAGGATGTGGCGAACCGCGGTATAGAACCTTTGGAAAGTAACTTAAACACTTTGCTGGCATTCCCCCATTCAGAGCAATAGCCGGAATGATAACATTTTTTTTTAAAAATATATAATGTATGTTGTTTCAGGATTTTACATGTATAAAAAGGATCAAATGAGTTTGCAGTCTGTGTTTCATCCCTGTAAAATATGCAGTTCTAATTATAAAATTATATAAGTCTCTTCTTTTTCCTTTTTTCTAGCCTATGACTCAGGAATGTCAGTTGCATTCCTGGGTGGTTACAATCCCCTCATTTTTGTCTTACCCCCTTTTTCATATTGACTAAAACCATTTCATTTTTCATATCGACTAAAACCGTCTTTCTTATCTTCCTTTGGCCCCTACCCCTATTTCTTTTTCCTTCATCATCCTCTTTGATCTCCCATTTCCCCAAATTCCTAAATTTCCTCCAAATTATTACATCCTCCTATGGGGCGAGCCCCAAATCCCTTTATGAGCCTCTCCACCTTTCTTCTCGGCCTCAGTTTTCCTGGACCATCGACGACCTCATCAACCCCGGCACGCCAGCTACGACTCTCGCCGATCCTATCTACGGACACGACAGAAACTCGGCCCCTTCGTCTCCAACTCGGAACCCCGTTGCCGAATCTCCTGCTCAATTGCAGGCCACTCTGTTGGTCAGAGCGCAAGTATCACGTCCTGTGTATTACTGCTATTGTCAGCGTTGCAGTAAGTAAGACATAAAGCTTGTCGCTGATCTAATTGGCCCTCCAGTCTAGGCACCACGCTACACAGCGATCCACATACGTAAAACAACCCCATCACATAAAAATTTTTACTATCCCTTAGCTGTAAACACAGACAGAGTACTGAAGTAAGCGTAAACATCTGTCGACGAAGCTATTGATGTTTTCCAGCCACGCAAATTCCCCAAGTAATGAAGTGGAGGTGCTTTTAAAGCATTAAACATGCCAGTATTACTGAGCTGTCTACTGGGACTAAAAAATCTGTGATTTCCAAAGCAGAATAATGAATAACCTTATTTCCGCCACTTGCACCATTGCGCTGCGCCCGATTTCGGATAAAAAACGGCATTCGTTTCCGGATTGCACAAAACTTGGCTTTAATCGAAACACAAAAAACGAACCTCAGATATATCAAAAATCTGAAATAAATCTCAATATCCCAAAAAATAAATAAATAAATAGCAACACGCACCAGACTAGCGGGTACGATCATGCGTCTTGTGCAATTCAGCCCATCGTGCGATTGCCTGTTAAAGATTTTCACTGCTTTGTACTTTAGTCTGTGCAAAAATAACTCAAACATTGGAAAATAGTTAAAAATTTCACGCACCAGCGCACGAAAGCTGAATTCGAAACCTTGAAGGGTGAATATCTTTCCGTGATTTCCGAGTTAATAGTTTACCTGCCAAAATTTTCACGAGGCTGTAAGTGATATTCAAGAGCGCGGGAACGCTGAATTTGAATTTTAATGGGCAAAGTTGAGCGTGGACAGGGGGTCATTACCGTGAAATTTCAGCTTCCTAGACTCCGTGGTTCCCGAGATATTAATTTACCTGTAAAAAACTTTCACGGGGCCGTACGTGT